TGCGCGTGTATGACGCTGCGTCGCTCGTAGGTATCGAGGCTGAACACCTGCACGTCATAAGCCTGGCGCGCCTCTGGAGCTCGCTTAGACACGTACTAGGATCTCCCCGCCCTGTGTTCCAGCGAAGATGTACTGTGATGACACTGCTAATGCGAGGATCGATTTGTCGTGCTTCATCCGATGCGCGAGGGCCGGCGTTCGATTGCCATCTAGGCCAGACTTCTCTGCGCCCTGCGTCTCCAGGATGCCGTCATTATGCGGAGGCGCTGCTGTTGGCATGGTTAGCCCGGCTTGGTGTTGTATCTCTGGAGTGAGTGCATGGTCGCGTGTAAAGGTTTCGCGACTTGGTGGGAGCGATGACGGCACATTCAGGGTCCGGGGCCAAAAGCGCCGGCTGCGGGGCCCTGATGCACCACCGATGGACGCAGCAACTCGACTAAACGTACCTCTTAGTCCTACACCTAGAGCTGTCTTCACTTCCTGCGATGTAAGCGACGCTGACAAGATGCACATGGTCCTTCTTTCTGCTGAGCTACAGCCTGCGAGGAGATGAAACGGAAAGATGGCAGAAGAAGAAAGTGCCGCGCTGTGCGATAGCGGTGCCTCCCTTACCGTGCTCGAAAGAGGCAGCCGTTGATCGGCTTCATCTACCTCGTTCAGCGTAATATCTGAGGACGTCTCGTCGTCGCTGGGTGACCTCTCAGGGGAGCTCGAGCTTTGCTGCTCGCACTGAGTAACGAGCTCACCGCTCCTACTGCTACATGGCGAGCGATCTCGCTGCAATGACGCCATATCTCAAGGGGGGAGTGTGCTTCACAGTAAGCTGAGATCATGGAATAGCATCACTGCTTCCTTTTTCTCGATTCCCATATCAGCATATCTCACAGCAAGCGCAGAGTGGTGCCAACATATGTGCACCAGCGTGCAGTCACGTATGCACGTGTCGTACAACTTGGCGGCGCGCTGTCAATCATGCAGTCGCTCCCTAGTCTGCGAGCTCTAAATAATAAATAGTTCACCGTTCGCAGGCCCGAATACGTGGTCGCAGCGTAGAGAGCGGCTTCCGACGTTGAGCTACCAATTGTAAATGACGCGGTTGGTGTGGCCCGCCTCGAGTCGCTCCAGCTGCTAAGGAGACTTAGGACAGCCTCACGGGAACATGCATATCAGGGCGCGGGAGGCTGGAGGCTGCCGCATGCAGGTCGAAGAGATAGAGTGAAGATCGTCGGTGTGCATTCTGGAACACTCTGCCGCCAAGTTTGAGGATTGCGAAGCGCGGCCGAAGATTGGACAGGATGGGAAATCGGCGAGCAGAGATGCCTGTGTAGAGTGTTTTTGGGACCAGTAGCCTTGATCGACTGCGGGTAATGAATCGTCGATAATGCCTCACCAGCACCACCAGGGAGTGCCTTCCTGTCTGCGTTGAAAACGTGGGAAAAGTGGGTTGAGAAAAAGGAGCGTGGGACCCCAACCAAACTACAGCCACACTGCTGGCGATGACCAAGACTGTCAAACCTCCGACAGCCTCGATATGACGCAGCTTGCGTAAGCTTCGCAGATTTTCAACCTTCTCAGCTCGACGTTGACAGCCTTTTGGAGTCTCGGCCGCGATGACAGAGCGCACCGCCACAGACGCCACAGCAGCACCGCCACGGCTGGCGCGGTAAGGGCAACCTTCCCAGCTGAAGGCTACCGGAGGTTGAACCTAGAGCCGATCATGCCAACTGGACAATGATTGACATCTCGATTCCAGCCGGCTCCAGATTGGGGTTTGGGCAGCAACAGTCGGGTTATGGCTGCCAGGGCCTGCATCGTTGCATCAGCACGCGTGAGAACTGAGGCTGCCGAAATTTAGTTGTCCAGTCGCTGTCACGACACGTTCACGATGGCTGCAGTAATAAAGCAAGACAGCCATCCGCACCAATGGCAGGCGAAGCCGGGGCCTCAGTGCTGCAGCGTCTCGCTGCCCGCATAGCCGGCGCCAGGGAAGCGCCTCCAGTTACATGGCGACACGCGCTGCGACTATGCCCGGACTGCACTGGTTGAGTCTTCACGGCGCAGCCCACGAACCAGGGCGAGACGTCACAGACAAGCGATGCGAAGTATGCGGGCAGTCTCGTGAATGGCTTTGCTGCAGGTCGCTTCGGCCACTCTGGTTGCACCCCGCGCTCCACCACCATCATGGCTGCGTGTCGCGGTCGGTAGAAATCGCCTCATTCCGCGCGTAGTGTTCCGACAATAGCGCCGTCAGGAGTGACTCTGAAATTCCTTATAGTCGCAGCCTGGCCGCGACGACTTGGTGATCCAGGTGGGACCTTGTGGAGTTGCGCCAGCTGCCGTTTCCGCGAGCACTGACTGATACATGCTCACCGCCGCCTTTTAGGCCCAGGACACAAGTACCATTCTCACCGCAACCAGCCTCAAGGTCACACAAAACCCCTCTTGCCGCGCGCTGTGCAGCTGCTGCAGGAACACAACGCCCTACTACGTCACCATGGCCGTCGGACTCGGAGAGACTATTACTGTGATTAACAAGAGCGGGAAGGTCGTGAGCAGTGTGAGTGCCCGATAAGCTCGCTAGCCCCCCGATAAGCCCCGTACTCGTACTGACGCCCCGCCCAGAGCAAGCACATTGTCAACGTCTTCAAGGAGGCCAAGGCCGCCTACCGCGAGCGCAAGGCGGAGATCAAGGCGGAGCGCGATGCCGCCGTCAAGGAGAAGGAGCTCGCCAAGGGCGTCAAGGCCATCCGCCTGGACGACGACGACGCCCGCTCCCAGGTCTCGCATCGCTCCAAGGCGTCCAAAGCCCACACCCATCGCACCAAGGCCCATGACCGGCCCGTGATGGAGCGCGGCTACAGCGACAGCTTCTATGCCAACGACAGCCCGCGAAGCAGCAAACACCGCTTCGAAGCCGACCTCGCCGGCGACGCACACAACAAGGAGATTGCGAGGAGGAATTCCGATCAGGCCGTCCAGCGCTCGTCGCAGAGCAGCAAGTCGCGATCCAAGTCAGTCGATATGGACCTTTGCTACGGCGATGTGCCCCCGCCCCTGCCCGACAAGAAGTACAACGACGTCGAGCTGAAAGAGAAGGCTTCCAAGATCGAGTTGCTCCTGGACGAGGCCAACTGCTTACAACACACGGCCACGGCCATGATCGAGAACCTGCAGAAGAACCCTGAAGCGCTTGCCGCCGTGTCACTCACGCTCGCCGAGATCAGCGCCATCGTCGGCAAAATGGGACCTGGTGTCCTCATGACGCTCAAGGGCAGCTTCCCTGCCGTTGCAGCTCTGCTCCTCAGCCCCCAGTTCATGATCGCTGGAGGTGTCGCTGTCGGCGTTACCATTGTCGCACTCGGCGGATACAAAATCATCAAGAAGATGCAAGTCCAGAAGGAAGTCGACGCACCACTACCTGAGCCGCAAATGGCGATGCCCATGCGTGCCGCTACCATGCCCATCGAAGACTCCAACAACCAGCTCGACGAGCTCGAGCCCCAGGAGCTCAGCCGCGTAGAGCTGTGGCGCCGCGGCATCGCAGACGTCGAGGCCAACAGCTCCGGCACCAGTGTCGACGGCGAGTTCATCACGCCCGAAGCCTCCCGCACCCTTTGCGCCGCCGGCGTACTTGACGAAGACGATCTCAAGTCCCGCCGCAGCACCCGATCCAAGAAGCACAGCAGCGAATCAAAACACAAAGAGCACAAAGAGCACAAGCACCGCGCACCCAAGTCCGAAGTCAGCGTCAAGACCAGCAAGACCTCCGACTCAAAACGTCCCTCCAGCAAGGTTGCCTCAAGTAAAGTCGCTTCCAGCAAAGTCGCCTCCAGCAAATCCGGCAAGGAGAGCAGCAAAGAAAGCAGCAAGACCAAGAAGAAGGAGAAAGAGCCTTCCGGCCTCAAGATGTTGTTCCGCGCCCACACTGTCGCCGTCTGATCCCCACGGCTTCCAACCAAATCTCCTCTATCATAGCGTTTGGCGTTTCCTTCGTCCTCATCATCCTTCATCATCGTACATCAGCATTTAGCGTTGCTTTGCTTCCTCACGTTTATACCATCTAGACGACATTACATGGGCATATCAAGATCCCGTCGTTGGCCGCTTGCTTGCTTGCTTTGGAGTCTTCTGGGTTCGTTCGGCGCAGGGGCGAACATAATGGGTCATGACTATCGCGAGTACTACGAGAATTCTTTTTCACGCTGCTTTTATGTAACGCATACGTATCAATTGCACATTTACGGACTCGAGAACGAATTAATATGTTAACAGTTATTCCTCACAGTCACTCCTATCCCTGCCGCTCTTGCACCGATCCCCTTTATCGATCCCTGATCATGCATCATGCACATCCTCTTACACCTCGCCCCTTCCCACGCTCCACTCCCATGACTCGCCCCGAGTACTGTCAGCCCAACATCTACCCCTTCCTCGCCCAGAGATCCAGCCTCTCCCCTTTCCCTCTCTTCGCGTCATCGCAACACCCACCGACCCCATCGACCCAAAACATTGCGCCTTTGTCGTTCACAATGTCCATGCAACATGTCCATCTACGCATCCAGCCTATCCTCAAGCACAAGATGAAAAACCAAGACTATGTCGGTAGCAGAACAATTAGAACAAACGACGACACATATGAATATGAATAGAGAAGACTATCAACGTAAAAGTATGGGTATGAAGGGAAAGAGAAGGAACTGGTAAGAGTATGTATAAGCAACAATCCGAGTACGAACTGAAATATGAATGAGGAGCAATATAATACACTGTCAAGACATCTGCTGCAATGCTTGCTCGCTCGACGTCGCTCTTCTGACAAGACTTTGCCAACTAGCGTAGCCGTATCATGTCCTCATAACTGCAAGCTCTTGTGTTGACGATACTTCTCTTTTCGAGAGGACCTGATTGGATGGGTGCATATGGAATTCGGAAGTTGTGAGTCCCTCATAACTGCAATATCTGCAGTTCAATGGGAGATCATCTCCTAGGTTCTCAAGCTCTTATTTGGGGTCTGCGTCGTTAGGCTTAGGCCCGACATCAACATCGGCTTCGTTCTCGGCGCTGATTGTGGTCTTCTGTCGCTTTTGTGCTGGCTCCAGTGGTACGGTTGAGTCAGCAGCTTGTGCACCGAAGTTGTCGTCTTCTCCCTTTGCGACAGCATTTTCCACTGGGGCCTGCTGTTCGGCCTTTACAGACGACGCTGTCTCTGTATCGTTAGCCTTGCGCTTCGCCGACGGTGGAGGCGGAGGTGCAGCGTTGATAATATTGTTAGGATATGGCAGGGTTCCGTTCTGATTAGGCATTGTCGACACCTGCTGAGGAGTAGAACTCAAAGTACCAGTAGGACGTGGTGGGGCTACAGTCTGATGGGGTGCCATCGTCATCTGATTAGGTGTAGCCACCGTAGCTGGACCGGTAGAAGGCGGCAATGCCCTGTTCTGCTGAGGTACTGTCGGCAGTTGTGGAGGTGCAGCGTTGGTGGTGCCGATTTCAGGTGTGTGTAGCGACCCGGTATAGCTTGGATCCATTCCTCTAAGCCAAGTATAGGGGCCATAATCAGCTGTACGGCGCTCTTGAGGATCCATCATGCTGATAATGAGCCATTTCCAGTAGATGTCTCGGGTACGGATCCTGCTCTCAGGCTCCAGTGTAGAATGCCGACGGACCCGCTCATCCAAGTCCACAGTGATACTCATGGAGAACCTGATCACGGAATTGCGCTTCGGGTCGTACGGATGGAGTCGATTAACCACAGCGACGCAGTCCATAGGCGCGTAAGGATGGCCGTTGGGAGTTGGATGCTCGATACCGCGTGAGATCGTCTGGGTGGAGTTCGGATTCCGCGCCAGCTCTTCTCTGATATCTGCTTCGTATCGTTCTCGATCATCGACTCGGTCCCGGTTCATGATAGAGAGGTGCGAAGCGCAGAATTCTGCAGATTTAGGTATGGTCTCCGCGGCGTCTCTCCAGGCTCCCGTACTACCATAAGTCCAGATAGGTAGGATTTGGACTGTTGCCCTGCCATTGTCTTCGTGTAACGTAGCAGTTACGAGGCCGTCTCGAGCTTCCAAGTAGAAGCCATGCGGCCAATCCTGGCCATACTTGTTCCGGATATATTCGTTTGGCTGGAAGCGGAGTACGCCTTTATCTGTGAACCACCATTCTCCGTGTTTGTCCTGTGTCATTCGCTGATCGGCGTCGATCTGACAGTGCTTGATCATCCAGAAGTCGACGATGTCTCCGAAGGTTAATGGTGTGAAGTTTGGTAACACAGCGTGCCTACTTGTTCGAACGTGTTGATCCACACGTCCGTGTCCGTCTGGGTCTGGATAGCGACCGGAGTTGCTATTTCGAGTTGAAGCTGTCTTGGCCCTCTGAGGGGGCTCTCGACCACTTCCGCCCGTATCAGAGTTTTCGTATCCCGTCATGCTAACTGTAGGCCTGGCCTGATAGTTTGGGACCTCTCCAAAGCCTGGCGCGGTGCTAGGTACTGTTGGTTCTCCAGAGATCAAAGCAGTTGATGGGGCGCGGCTGTCGCTTCGAACCCCAAGCGGCATGTGGTTTGGATTCTGATTGTTGAACACATTCGTCACGTCGCGTCCAGCATGCAGAGTGGCAATCGAACGGATTTGCTGCGAACCTGAAAGCCGAGGAGGTCGCTGGTCTTCAGAAAGTCTCTGGTGTCCCTGGGTTCGGACTGGTGGGGATCGATCGCGAGGCCCCATTCTATCTCTATCATTGCGGGACGGACTTCGTTGTGGTCTCCATCTATCTGCTTGTCGACCGCGGTCGCTGGGCCGCCTGCCGCCAGATCCACGACCGTCGTCCCTTGGGCGATCTCGTTCTGACATGACCAGTCGATCGCTGTAGTTGGGTTGACACGGTTGCGACTCCAGAGGTGTTGATGAAAGCCTTGGTAGCCCGAGTAGTCGCCATTGATATAGGAAGAGGGGGCAGAGTGCCCCCCTACGAATGTGAATTGGTCGCTAGACCATTTCACTCGGGTCCGCGCCCAACTCGAGAAGGTCTCTCGGAGTGCACGCACCTATTATTCACAGTGTTCAAAGCTGTCGAGGTGCTGTGCTATGTGCCCACTCCGCTTATGTAAGATCGTCGAGCAACAAAGACGGGAGGGGGACAAAGGTAGATCCAAACAGATGACAACACGTCTTTGTCTTCCAATATGTCAACGTTGTCGAAATGGTAAGCCTCTCTCCTATGGGGATTTGACGTAGCTGTCTTGTCGCGAGATTCTTACTCCTATATGTCAACAGACGCCTGTTACACATTCTGACGCGACCAATAATGACTTGCATAGGCCCGGGGTCCTCATCGAAAATGACGAAACCTTGTGGAAAAAGAGGCTTCGAAGACTACGCCAGTGATGCCTGCGAGGAAGATGTCTCCTATCCTGAGAGGCGTCCTTCCAAGTTTCTTCGCCTTACTGAGGACGCTGCACACGACATCCAACCAACGTACCGGTCGAAGAAGGGGAAGAATACATCGAGCTGGCTTTGGTTATCTCCTGAAATTCATCCAATGTTCAGTGAAAGGAGGGCCGATCACGACTACCGAGCTCAGGAAAATGGAAAGTTCCTCAGGCTGGCACAGCAGGTTCATCCTCAGTATGTAGCCCCCGCTGAGGGAAAGAACAAACCAATGAGGACTTTAGCATCGGGTTCCTCCCACAATCAGTCACAAGCGCGAAATAGCCATCTGTCACACGGTATACCGTCAGCTTCTTCCACCCTGCAACAACACCCTCCTGCAGGCTTCATACCATTTGACCCGGTCTGGTGGTGGCCAGATATCATACACAAGGAAGACTTCCACAGCGAGAGTGGTTTGCTATTAGTTGGCAGCCGAGAGAAGCCTCGTGCAGGCATCGTGCCGACGTACGAGCTGTTCTGTGCGATAATAAAGGCGGGATTGGCTCGTCGTGACGCCGATTCGTCGTACGCATTGCGCAATCGAGAGCTGGACGAAGTTCAGCGAAAGTATGATAAGATGGTAGAAGAAAAGGCAAAATGCGAAGAAGAACAGCAGGAGCTTATTAGGTTGACTTCGAGCAAGTACGGTGGGTATGATCGTGAGACCTTCGAATGGGCGATGAAGCGTAAATCGGAAGTCATATATCGTATTCGAGCCCTTGAAGCAGAGGGAGAAGAGCTCCAGGTAGAGCAGGACAATATCTATGCTCGGCATCATGAAGTAAATGTGAACACTATGGCCGTAGAGAAAACGCTTTGGGATTTGCTCGACGATCTTCTAGTACGAATAGGCGTTCTGCCCAACATCGATGGCGACGACAAGGATCCGCGGGTCCGGATCGTCGACACAAGAGAGCATGTAGACGATCTCAATCTGGATTGGCCCGAGAACAATTGGAACGATGAGATACCTGAGGAATGGATACCCCCGCCGATTGTGGAGATATATAGCGGGGCATTTAGACCTCTGCAACAAGAAGAACCAGAAAGTACGTGGAATAACGCATGGAACGACTACCCTCGCAACGAAAACCTGCTGGCATTACAGGACGCGCTCCGCCAAACAGCGTACGAAGCGACACGCGTTGAGAAAGAGTTTAACAACGTTCGCGAGCAGTACGATCAGGAGTTGAAGACTTACATGTTTCACCAGAGAGGGAAACGTGTCAATGCAAGTGTAAGGTCGCATCAGTTAGAAGAAGAATTTGGTCCTATATGGCTGGAGAAATGCCGCAACATTTCCTCGAAGATGCAGGAAGCTGACAGAGGTTATGCGCAGGCTGAGTGCGATCTTTCGGATGCACATCGGCATGATCGCGAGGTTCGAAGGAGAAAGTCGAAGCCAGAGCTAGGCGCACCACCGGCTCAGACAAAAGCAATCGCAACAGAACATTTTGGAGAAAGGATGTCGTCTCGGAAGAGGCGCTGGATCGACGAATGGCTTGGAGATGTGTGTATAGAACCGCGCGATGAGGACCAGGAAGAACCTGGAGAAGAACCGGGCCAGCCCATTACCGTTGCTATGGATGAGGCAAGTAGAACACTGCGCTCTGAGGATGTTCCAATGGCTACGGGTCAGCGACGTAGGAGAATCGACAGATATGTACTTCGAACTCAAGAGCTGCGTCAAGACACGACAAATACTGCCTTACAACAGCTGCATCTCGACTGGGCACGGAAAGTTGGTGAAGGGATGTGAGTACACATTCACTGGTCGTACTGGCGGCGGTCGAAAGACATCCATACGTAGACGCGTCGAACAAAATCGCTAAAGACCAGAGCAAAGACGCGATGAGGATGATCAGTATTGTGGAAAAAGGAGCACTGAGTGCATTCTTTCTGTGACGGAACGCGGAGATGACGATGACGTAATGATGACATGCGAGACCCTGAATCCCTTCGTGATGCGTTTCGCCCACAGAACCAACCAATCCTTCCGCAAGACGTCGCGCATCAGCGACCGCGGCCTGCAGCCATTGCTGCCCACATATCTTTTCGTCAAGGAGTTTGTCGACAACATTCATGTGCGCGAACCGAAGGGGCAGTGCTTTCCGAGGGGCCATGACAAAGCCCACTACCCACACTTCGTCTTCTCATCAACCACTTCCGGCACCTCATGCTCTCCAGACTCAGCTGGCTCACGGTTAGCAGCCATCGCCGTCTTCCTATCAAGCTACACGAATCGTTAGTACACGCCAAATTCCTTATTCACCAATGATACTCACCCATCTGACCACGAACGCCCATCCAATGAAAGCAAAGACCACCACGATCATGGTGATGCTTCCCTTCTTCCAGTATGGTACATCAGTCGCTGGGTACATGACGATACCCCACCATGTATACAAAATCAGGCCGCCCATGGCCATTGTATACACGGTCACACCCCTCACCGCATCGTCGCCCGTTCGCTGGCAGATGGTTGTGGCCCACCCGTACATGATTGGATTCACGATAAAACTCGTGCCGCTGAGGTAATGCGCTGTGAAGACTCCCGCATCTGGAAGGTTTCGCACGAGCAGAAGCGATGCGGTGATGAGCTGCATCGCTCCACTAAAGATGATCATGGGCAGACGATGACCTGTGTGGTCGATGAAGGCTCCGCCCAGAATTTGGGAGACGATCGCAACAGCTTGAATTCCGAGAGGGTACGTGTTGATAGCGGTTTGGGAGAAACGAGACTTGTTGTGCTTGAGCCAGAGGAGGAACATGCCCTGGAAGGCGAAGGCTTCGAGCATGGCGCAGACGACCGAGAAAGTTGTGAGGATGTATCTGCAGAGGAGTTAGTATGACTTCCCGGTTTGACTAACATGACAGGTATCTACTCACATAGTAGGCGTTAGGAGAACACGCTTCGCAAGGCTCTTGAACTCGATGTTATGGGTGTCTGCTGTCTTGGGTGGTAGACGAGTCATTGCGAGCTGTCTTTCCGCCTGAGTGATGTAGGAGACTCTGGTCGACTCTGGAAGATCCGGGAATGTGAACTAGGGTTACTATCAGTCCTCAGGCTCGAGTGCAAGCACCGACACAACTTACGAATCCGAAGAGACCAACTGGAATTCCCATGAGACCGTCTGAACCACATGTATCAGCAACGCGCGCGCGACGGCCCCCGAAATCGCTCACGTACCAATGATGAATACCCATTGCCAGCCCTTCAAGCCGCCTTTGCCTTCCATCGTCTGGTGCATTGCCGTCATCATGAGACCAGCGCACATACTCCCGACCTGCCCGACCGCAGTAAAGATGGCAGCCCGTTTGGCTATCTCGGAAGGCTTGCTGCGGGCATCGTGAGCATCTTCCCATGAAGAGGAACTCGATCGACTTACTACCATGAACCCATCACATACACGCTACCACTATACAAACTGGCCTCGATCAAACCCTGGAAGAAGCGGACTGCACAAAGCTGTGAATACGTCTTACACCCAGCTGAACACATGGTCAAAAGAGACCAGAGAATAAGAGTGAACGGAAGCCATATGCTAGGGCGAACTTTCTGGATAATGAGACCATGGGGTATCTGGCCGACAACGAGACTGCGAAGCTGTCAGCTAGAGTGCTATGACACACCGGCACACTGAACGGACCCCGCAGTGAAAATCGACAGCAAGATGCTATACTCATTGCCTTTGAGGCCGATGTCTTCGCGGAGACCAGCAACATAGGCATTAGCGAAAGCCTGGCGATCCAGGTAGTTGAAGAAGTAGGCTGCGCAGCAGAACACCTAGTCAAGACAGTCAGATATCATGAGTAGTCGAGTTCTGCGACAGTACCGACCATGATGAAGATGTCTAGTCACATGAAAGTCAGCATGGTTGCGCCATGGGGATAAAGATGCTCATACCAAGCTTCACAACGAGCTTCCTTTCCAAAACTTTCTTCGCATCGCCAGAGTCGCTGGGCCTGAGCCCTGAGCAATTGCATTAGCATCCAAGCAGCCATACAATTCTGGAACCACAAATTCCTCACATCCTAAGGCACCCATCTTCGGTTGTGTACGTTGGTGGATCAGATAAAGCGACGATTATCAGATTGATTAGTCGTGGTACCAATCGCCCAGTTTTAATCCATCTGATAGCACCCGCGTGGGGCCAAGGCCTGGCCTCGGAGCCGGCGTATTGGCATGGAAGATTCTTCGCGCTTGATGATCGTCGACCGAGCATCGGCCCGTTGTTAGGGTGAAATAGGGCCTTGGCCTCATGTCGAGACCGGGTGTTCTACCAAGAACATCACTATGGTCCTTTGATCTGCTGATTTCCCAGTCATGATCCATGCTTACCGTTCCCGTTGAGCCCAGAGACTTGAGCGGATGGAGTCACTTCTCCATCACAGTGGTAAAGCTTTGCATTTATGTTACGTTCTCCGCGGGGTGTGGGCTGCTTAACGCGAGCGAGTAACCCCCATGATATCCCTCACATGTTTTTGTCCCGACTGGCTGGTAGCTGGGTCTGGATTTGGCACGATGCATATGCGGTTGAATAGAATGACCGCGGTATGCGCGACACAGGAAACTATTACCCCCATTCGCCAGCTTCCTACCTGGAGGACGGGGGAAAATGTAAAGCTGTTCATGCATACCGGAGTAACCTTCGGTGAGCGACGCTCTGGCTGTGGCCCATTTTACCCGCTTATTAACCGCGTTCACCCATCTTTGGCCTTAGGCGTAAGCAGTCACGCTCTCCATGAAGGCAGACTGCCGCATGCACCCAATGCTAGGTGAGCGGTCGTTGTATATCTCTCATAAGACCAGATTCAATCGCGGACAGTGTTCAGTCGGAAAAGAACTCACGCCAACCCCCTAGTTTCACGACAGTCCATAATGTTTGTCTAGATGAAGGCCTTACCTCAGGTCCCCCTGCTCTTCAGCTGACGAGCACACAGCCGCAAGGTAGCAACCAAAGCGCGTTCGCTACACAACACACAGAACTTCTGATATCTTCTAGTACATACAGGTTAAGACCTACTCATCATGAAAGCCAGTATAAGCTTCCCAATCTCTGCTCTCATGAAACCACCAAAATAGCAAATGTGATCTTTTCTCCAATACGCTCATCACATCATCACAAGCCCTAGTCACCCTCTTGAGTTCCCATGATCATGAGGTTTGCTACAATGAGATGCGTAATATAAAGCTTCAGCCTACAAGCCAGACCAACTCATTAGTTCTAGCAATAGGGCTACACTAAAATGTCTTCTAATGACCAAGGGGGCGCCAAACGTGGTCCCTCTCTTGTACCTTCCAAAGACAAAGTCCCCGAACTTGTTCGCCCTAAATCTGATAAGTCTGAACTTACTGACCACCCTAGCGAGGAAGGCGACTCAATGTCGACTATCGAAACCACGAGCACTGAGAGTGTCGAATTTGACGATGAAGACCAACCCAGCGATGAAGAAAGAGGGGTGCCGATCGCAGAACCATTTGATTCGCCTAGACACGTTGTCCGCGATGGCGATGAAGGGAACGAGGGAGAGATTCGGGAAGCGAACCAAGAAGCGAACCCAGGAGGAAATCCAGGGGAAAACGAAGGACGCGATTAGGGATTCCCTCGCTGGAAACTAGTCTGATCATGAAGCTGATCAGGAGTTGCAGGAGGAATCAGACCGTTATCATCACGTACATGTAGAACCGAGATGTTTGACGGATTAGTGCAAGAGCTTGGTCATCTTGGTGATACATCTTAGTATAGTCTCATGGAGATGGCCTGAACATATTTAACAGTTGACTACACACATCATGAAAGTGCCTGGCCGCAGTCTTTCCCTCTAGACTCATCGCCATCAGCTACCATGCCACTCGTCTCAGCGTTCGCGACGCGGAGCCCTTGGACCAGAACGATCCACACCATTTGGTCTCGAACAATCATCTTCTGAATCATACAGAGCATCCTCATATGGAAGACCATGACCCCTCCCGTACGAAGCATCCCGGTACTCATCCATAGCGCCACTGTCACTATGCGGGGCGACGCGGCGGCGAGGTGAGCGAGATCGACGGTGAAGCGAAGTTGGTCCATACGAGTACTGCAGCGAAGTTGGACGATACTCAGGCGAAGTTGATCCATACTGAGGTGAAGTTGGTCGATAGTGAGACGAAGCTGGGCGATAGAATGGACTATGAGGTGCTTCATTGTCGCGTCGCTGTGGTAGTGGAATTGCGTTCTGCCCGGTTGCAACTGCAAGGCCTTGAGGCGAAGTTGGTCGATAAGTTGGGCTGTGACCGTAGTGTAGGCCACCTGGTCCCTGATCGTTGCGCCGCTGTGGCTGTGGATTTGCAGCCTGCGCGACTGGGACTGCAAGACCTTGATGTCGCGGCTCTTTGCGAACCTTTTTCTCAAAGTCCATCTTTCCGATGACGTCGATGTTCTGCTGTCCACTCCCGGTGTTGACGTTCTGGTTGTACACTGGCGCTGTCATGCGCATGTGCGTGTTGCCGTGTGGGCCCTTCAACGTCTGATTGTGACCACCGGACTTACCATCGCCGGCTGCCTTGTTGGTAACAGTATCATTGATCGAGAACTTCTGCTGTCCAGATTCTTGGTTTAAGCGATGCTCTGGCTCGGTAGGGATCTCGTACTCGGTTGGTGCGGCGCCGGTAGCTGAGGGTGGCGGGGCTTCGAATACGCCGTAAACGTTGATGTTCTGCTGACCAGACCCGCTGTTGATGTTTTGGTTGTAGATTGGTGCGCTGCTCGTGAGAAAGCTGGTGGCGAATGGGTTTTCGATCGATTGAGAATGGCCGTGGCCTTGTGGACCATTTTGGGAGTTAGTGACGGTGTTTTCCTCTTTGATGTGACGGACACGACTGAATTGATCTAGAGTCTCGGATTTCTGGTCTATCTTGCCAGAATGTGGTGGTGGCGGTGGTCGAATAGGCTCGCGTTGTTGCCGCTTTGATGGATTGGGGGCTGGTGCCGTGGAAGCTGGTCGCTTCCCACCGTTCCGCAGAACCATCTCTTTGCCATCGGCTTCATTCTCCCCATTCAATGACATATCGAACGGTCGAAGGCCAAACATCCTCCGAGCTTCTTGAGCGAGGCCCAACATGCTGTCGCGAACTTCTTGAGACTCTTTCCAAGCTTCCTTCTCGACAGCCTGGGTAAGATTGGTTGCATATGAAGTCTCTATCTGTGTTGGTGATCGGAGTTCCTTACGAACCTTGGCCATCAAAGACTGTAGATGACCTTGATTAGAGGTGGGCTGCTTGGTCGTTGTACCCATTGGAGGCGCCACAGTTGGTGTACTCATTGTCTGAAGCTGGACTGTTTATCGAGTTGGAAGCCGGTTGACAAATTGCGGGTGCAACGTTAGAGGAAGGCACCAGAAGGTCTTTCTCTTCCGCAGGCTGAAGCGTGAAATGCGAAGCAAGAGGTTTCACTTTATGAAGCCCCCCATTGTTTGTGCATCGAGCGATTTCCTTGTATCGGTCTAGATCCACACGTGCTTGTTAAGGTCGTTTGATCAGGTAGTCTAGAATGGTAAAGATCGGGTCGGTGTACCTCATGTCTGGCGCATGTCTAACGGCATGTCTCAGCAGCGGTCGCCAGAAAGGTTTATCCACTATTACGATGCGCAGTCTAAGTTGATGTTGACCGTGTAGGAGTGCCGCTCATGTACTGTAGCCGTATCCGCCATCATCAATTGACAACCTCCTCGTGCTTGCAGGGAAATTGCAATCGGTCATAGTAGATCGATGGATGGAGATGGAAGCAGAAGAGAGGATGGAGTGACGGCTGAGATTTGGCAGGATCGCTCCGGAGATGGCGCGGAGATAAGCACACCAGCCACCTGGACTTCGCAGCACTTCAGCATTCACAGCTATAGGCTCTACAGTATTGATCGCGACAGATGGATGGAAATCTCGCGCTTTGATCAAATAAGCTCCTGCTGTACCTCAGTCTGCATGCTCATGCCA